CGTCCGTTTGCGTTGGCTGACTAACGGAACGCATCGTTTAGTATATCAAGGTAAAGTCAGTTCCGAACGAGTGGAGAATGCAGGAGAGCGCGTAGCTACCTCTGCTCAGACACGGTCACGTGCCGACACCATTCATTTCTTTAGCGTCCGGGGAGATGGGGAAAGCCGTCTCTTCCCTCCCATCCTCGTCCAGGTAATTACACCGACACCCCGGTTACTATCAATATTAAATGGGCGACGATACGGGGCAGGTTAGATGGGCGGAGAAAATGTCAGCCGACGTCTTTGTCACACAAACAGCCAGGCAGCGGCGGCGTCCGATTCCGGAACCGAAATTTCGATCGACCCAAACTATCGCATCCGACCAGGGAAATTAAATTACAAAGCGCTAAGTGAAATCTATGGCTGTTATTTTAGCCCCAGCGCCACTGACCGCCCGGAATGACAATCGAGTGGATCTCTCAATGCAGATCGTCTACCGGAACTAAATCTCCCATGTTACCAACTCTGTTGTTTAGAAAATGCCCGTTTCTTTCTATTAACCAAGGAAAGAAACAATTTGTTGTGGTCTGTTTCAGCAGACGGAACTCTTTGATCAGACGTTGAACCCGATGCAGGACTAGACTGCGAGAACACAAACCACCCGCAGTGAACTCCCCAGCAACGGTCAGATTCTTCGTATCGTCTAGAAACTAAATATCCGAGAAGGCATCGCACTTAATTAATGACGAGTTTTATAAATAATTATCGACGAGATGAAATAATGCCCGGGAACCAACACCCGCGAGTTTGCAGCAACTCTTCTCTACCCCGTGGCAACAAATATCTAAAGGGAAATCCCGCATTTGTATGCCAGTATTTATTTTCTTTTTTTCCTATCGTATATTTGCTAAATTATATCCTGTTTAACTCACGATTTTTAAAAAAATTGTTGTCTGCAAACCGGATTACGATTTTACCCATTCAATTAATGTCCTTTTATGTATTTACCGACGGTTCTCGGAACCTTCTGCAAAATACCAAAACAGTTGAGGACGTCGAAAACGTCCCGTTTTAGGAAGATGCGCTGGAGCATAAAACGAGCGATTTGATGAATCGGACGCTCAAATAATAGCATGGCCGATGTATTCGTCGATAAGGAATTTTGCCATTCGGAACTTTTGGGAAAACCAGTTTGCGGAATAAAGTATAAAAAAATGATAAAAAAAAAAGAAATGAGCATGCGGGAATCGTGTTCGATAATTGATTAATCGAATAAAAGTAGAAAATCCGAGCCATTCTAGTGTAAACTTATCCGGTTTCTCCGCTTTTTTCGTCTCTTTTCTCCGGGCGGATCATCACCGGTTTAAACTCGTCCGGCGATACTTAAATGAGCAAAAATGTAACAGCCAGCACAGTTGTCCATTATATGAAAACTAGCGAAAGGACGAAACAAATTTACATCCTCTTTCGCTCTCTCTCTCCATTCTCTCTCTCGGCACTTGTATACTAGTGGCTGAAAAATGGCGCCTGGCAGCTATTTGGTTGCGTTCCGATTCATTTACATACTGATTTGTCTGCACCAGATCTGGGGCCATTGGTTGAAGACGATACGCCATTTATCACTGTCAAACACCGTCTCTACATTGTTATTAATATCTGCATTTTGCATCGGAATCCAAGACCGCTGGGATGGTTTTCCCTTTTGATTCGATGATGCTGCCACTGGCCATTCCCCTGTCGGCCGTTACTAATTAGGGATGTAGTCTTCGTGCCAGCAAACGCCCAGTCGTTCGAAGAGCGAAAGAAAATAAGGGGGCAAAAATAGAGACAGACGGAGAATAGGAGGCCCCGAACATGACATAAAGCGCAGTAATGACAATTTATTCACATCCACATACACTGGCGATAAAATAAC